TAACGAAGGACCTGTGCGTATCAGTATTAGTAYTGATACCCCTAACAACTGATACTGTTATTTTCTTTGGAAAATGGTTAACTCAAAGTAAGCATGAACAGTAGCTTAAGTGGTCAGCTCTACATTCTGGCTTCCTAGGAAGTTCTGGGCAGGCTTTGGAGTTCAGCTCTGCCGCACCGTCTTGGCGATACAGGAGTCATGCAGTTAATCCTCACAGCCAAGGGAACGACTTGGCCRAGCTGTCCTGCCCGAGCTGGGTACCTGGCTGCTCCCGGCACCAGGGCCCTGGTGCTTTCCTCTCCTGTTCAGGGACAGAGGATGGGCAGTTTGGTCCCTCTGGTGGCTAATCCTGCCTACAGGAACTGTTCCAACCGCCTAGGAGGGGACAGGGCGCTGCTGCAGCCTGGCAGGGTTGCCTGATGCTGTCTGCGCACGGGGATTGGCTTTATTTATACTGCAGCCTGGGTGCACCCCATGTCCATCTGGATCTCACGCTCCYGCCCTTTGCTTATTGCAGCTCAGTAACAAAGTAAATGGGAAAGCAGACTGTTTCCCTTCTGCTGCTGGGGGTATGGTTTCCCTTGGAGTGATGTGGGGGAGGGGGTGGAAGGGGGGGATCCCACCTGTSCTGTCCTTAAAGTCTTCTCCCACTTTGCCAGCAGATGATGCTGATTAGAATCCCATGCCCTGCTCTCCTGAAATACACCCTGCTTACCTCGTGCCAGTGCTAAGTTAAAGAACAGGTCTGAATGGTGTTRCTATATGCCTGCTGTCTAAAAGCACTGCATGCAGAGGGTGCTTTTTGTGTAAAGCTCATCCTTTTCCTTGTTTGTAGGTAACTGTTATCGTCTTGGGAAACAAAACTGACCTCCTGGAGCAAAGACAAGTGGAAACAGAAGCAGCACAGCAATGGGCAAGGGCTGAGAAAGTGAGACTGTGGGAAGTGACTGTGACCGATCGTAAAACGCTGCTTGAGCCATTCACCTTCCTAGCTAGCAAACTCTCCCAGTCCCAGAACAAATCAACATTTCCCTTGCCTGGAAGGAAAAGCAAAGGGAATAACTGTGATAACTGAGCCACCTTGATGTTGTCTGCAGCTGCTAAGGTCACAGCTTTAGCCCCTGCTCTCCCATTTGCTTCTCACAGTTTCACCTGAAGCAATAATCTCATCCAGCAATAAAATCAGCAAGCGCATGGCATAGAGGTACCCTTCCTTTTGGGGGGCTTGGCTTGAAAACCACTGATGATCACAGTCTTAAATATACCTCATAACAGCAGTTGCCTTGCGACACTGATTACAAGGGGAGGCAGAAGAGAGGCAGGGTCTTTAGCAAGGGCTTGAATTCCCTGGGTCCATCCGTGTTGCGGGACAAATCACCCGGCTTGTGACTAAGTAACCTCCCAGCAAGCCTGCACATCTGCAGCCTCTAGTCACAAACAGCACTGGCTTCAATAAAATATTGACGTGGGAGAACGTGTGTTTGAAATGGCAGCAGTTCTTTTACCTTTGCCTTAAACGGGGCCACCGCTGGTCACAGTGGTTTTTGGAGCTACAGGAGACTGGGGTCAGGACGTTGTAGTTGGAGATGGAGAAGGTAAAACCACCAGCGGATTTAACCTCTGCTAGTTTCGGGGAGGGGGGATCGGAGAGGAAATGGGACAACAAAACAGAGAAGCACCTTGTGGGARACCCCAGAACAAATCTACCTTGCCAGGAAGGTTATCAGCAAAGTCTGGCAAATAGGGCTTTCAATTTGGGAATTTATTTGTTCAAATCAGAAAAGCTCTCAGGGCACTCACTAATTGAACTGCAACCTGAAGGACAACATAGCTGTATGTGGTTTTGTTCCAGCACGTCCAGTACAAATCAGTCACATGGACATAGGTGATAATTTTACCAAGAAATTATATGGAACAACGTTGTAAGCAGGAGGCTCCGCAGCGGCRCGCGCAGTGTGTTACGTAACCCTGCTCCGAAGCCGCAGCCAGCCGCTGAGTGCCGAGCTGGAGGCCCRGTGGCAATGGGGACAAAGCCCGGGGCTGCTCTGAGAGGGCACTAGTGCTGCAGGAGGCTCTTCTGGGCACATCCCTGSAGAAACGCCCAGAAATACTTGTACAAATCTCTTGGTCTAATCAATGCCATGCTGTCCAGCAGCATGAGCACACCATGCTGCGCTCGCTTCTCCACATGGGAGAATCTGTGATGCAGGAATTTGCTGTCCCATGTCAGCCTGTCAGTGCCCAAGGCCAGGTCAAATACAAGAGGGCAGAATGAGTCCAAAAGGTAACGAGAGTGGGAGAGAAAGACAGACACACACCAGGTTTAGCACCCTAACGCACTGATGCTCACTTCTCTGTAACTGAAGATATGAATGGGAGAGTGGTAGTGAACTGAAGTACTCAGTTCTGTAATTTTCCACAAAATTAAGGTTTTTTTGAAAAAGCATTGAGAATTTAATTGTGAGTCAGCAAAACCACAATGTTTGCACTGTCATATCATAACTGCTAATAGTGTGTTTAATGAGCACAATTAAGCTGTGTRCTTATAACACTGCTCTTCCTGAACCCTGACAAATCCTGTCAGCATTACTAATGTCAGAGCAACAGTACAATTCACTAGGAATTAAGCAAGAATTCCTACCTTTATAACAGAGGCAGACGCAACTGTTGATGTGCCTTGCTCAATACAGTTTGGATTGCTGTGGCCACAGAGCAAGATAAGAGAGCAATTACGAGTGAGGCAGCTCCTGTAGCGCTCTGCAAGAAGTATCATCACTCCCGTTGCGACAGGGCAGCCGAGTCAGCGCTGCAGCCCGGCCGCCCCAGCCCGGCGGCCCCGGCAGTGCCGGGGAGCAGCGCTCCCTCCTCACTCCTTCCCTTCCCAACACAAGGGCTGTGCATGGAGCCCGCTCCCAGCCAGCGGCCTCTGCCTGCATGCTGATGGAGCAGGGGGGCTTCGGTGACAGAGGTTCATCGCCCTCTCGCTGTCACTTCTCACCAAGGAGCTGCTGAGGCTCCCTCTTGTTCAGCCCAGAACTCTCCTTCAAGAAGCGAATCGCTCAGCTTTGGCACAGCCAAAACCACCCAAGACCTCTTATGAYCACACACTGGTGCTGAGGCTGACCCTTGAGCCATGGGGGCCTAGCTTGAGAGGGGAAGCCAGCCAGGGGAATTTCACACACTGTGGGGATGGAGGAGATGGAGATGACTGGTTCCTGTCCAGTCCTGCTCCCCACAGACCCAGTGCCAATCGCCCTGACAAGACTGGGCTCCATACACTTCGCTGATGGAACCGGGGGGAGCCCCATCACATGAGATCAGGTGGTCCAGAAACACATGGGACTTGACAATGACCTAGGAAAGGCAAGAGAAAAAGGGCTCTCCTAGGGTGGCTAAGACCACATTTCCAGACAGGTTACRTAAAGTCAAATACACAGTCTTCTTTTTGGACAAGCTAATTTCTAAGAGCCTTTGGGGCATTCACATAAATAATGCCCCCCTGCACTGTTTTCCCTCAAAAGCTTATTCTGCAGCTTTTTAAGCACTCATATCAATTGCCTTTTCTGACTACTGTAGCATTTCAAAGACAAATGATGAAAATGATAGTTTTTACTCTGCTTGCACTGAGTCAAAGTGAAACCCTCTAGTACAGTTTCACATAAGGTTAATAATAAATGAAGTACAACTGTATGATCTGGTGGCTTAAGGGCAGGACATATATTTTGTTTTTTTACAGTTCCACAGACTCAAAATCTGTCCTAGGTCATAGAGATCACTTACCTACTGCACAGCTAGACAGTCACAGGTGATGGAGAAGGATTACTGAAAGCGGAAAAATAAAACAGTAAATTCAACCCTCCTTCTCCAATCCCCTTACACTTCTGTCCTGCTCCTTTCCCCTGCCAGGTGCAACAGTCAGTTTGGCTCGTGCTGGCAATACAAAGCAAGAAGCAGACTAAAATCTACTGAGATTAAGCCATTTACATGCTCAAACAGTAAAGGGGAGAAAGCAATGAATTTAAGCGAGTCCCTCACCACAGACACTCCTACTGTGATGCAGTATTATGCCATTAATTTTCTTAGGCTGAGCCAGACAGCTGAGGGAGCTCATACACCAAAACACAGTGTGTGTCAAAAAGGCATCTCAGCAGACACAGCCAATGTACCACTACCTACCAACACCTAGCACGGGAAGGGCATCTGTCACTAGCAAGTTATTTTGAACCAAACTGCAGCTGATCTATATATCGACAGGGAGGAAATTATATAAATCAGCTGAACATGGATTTTTATTTTTAAGTACTGAAATAAATCTCAAAGAACAAGCACTGAGATGTATGGTAGAACATGAAGTACCTGCCATGGGAAAATGAGTCTTTATTTCCTGCTATTACCTTAAGGGAGTGGCCCAAAATACCATATTCACAACTAGCTGCTGTTGCTCCATACTTCAATGCAAACAGTGTATCTCTAGGAGATGATCTTTGCAGCTAGCTGAAGGATCTACAGATTYAGCCTCCTTCTAGATGTCTCCTGCTAGCTAAGCCAGGACTCTCTCTTCTTCCCACTGGGAACAACGGACTCCATCAGAAAACCAGTCTCTTCTTCCCCTTGAACATTGTCCTTCTAAATCTCTTGCATTTTTCTATTTGTGCTTTTTTTCAGCAGTCCTAAAAAGCCAAAACTATGAAAAATGTAACTGAAAAAAATAACCAGCAAGGACTGCCCTAGGCAACCTCTTCACGGGCCATGTGGGCCTGTCCAATGCCAATAAGGAGCAGAAAAACCTTACCTTACCTTGCTTGTCTAGAAACATCTCCCAAAATAGAAGCAGTCACGGCACTCACCTGCTGAACTCCCCTGTCTTCGCCCTTACTTGTATTACAATCCTTGAAGTGTTGTTGGAGACACTATTGTAGCAAAATGACAAAGCACAGCACTAAGCAGAAGTCTTTTTTTTTTCTTTTTTTTTTAAACATCTTTTTATTAGCACAGTAACAAATGCAGATTTAAGTAGCCCACAACATACAACCAATCCACTGAGTGACTCCTATTCCACGCCTTACAGTTAAACAGCTTAAGGTATTTCACTACAGGTTGCCGTAAGTCCTGATTAAAACCTTTATTCTTTTCACAAAGAAAGATTGGCTTATAAAATAATACATTAACTACTTCTCATTTCATATATGAGGCCATATATCCACTTTGCCATATCACAGATCATGAGATGACAGTCTTTAAAAAGGATTTGTTAAATACCAATGTGCCCTCCATAGGGGAAAACAATCCCAACATCTTTTTACAAAAAATCCAACCCAAAACAAAATAAAATCCCCAAACGAAAAACAAACTAAAAAAACCCCAAAAACAGTGTGTAGAGTCTTGAAAGGACTTTTACATAAATGTCAACATATGTACCTGTACAAAATTAAGCTGTTTTAATCTTACTGCAAGCAAACCGAAAACCAGAAAAGTCTAAGTTTACATTCTTCTTGGTACTACATGTGAGCTAATATTGCTGAACTAATTACAGTCTTAAAATATGCTATTCCCAATTCTAGCTGTCTACTGTAGCAAGATACCTTAAGTTACAACAACAAAATCTTAGGAAATAAAAGACTGAATAAAATCTGTTATAGAAATACCCTACTCTTTACCAGCACCCTCCCTCCTCCCACCCCTTCAAAATCATAAGCAGCTCTTTCCATCACAGACGAATAATGCAAGAGTTTGACAAAACTCCAACTTAAGTAGCATATCTTTTGGTCCATTGCCTGGCCATTCTGTCATGCTCTGCTCTGTTAGTCATATACTGAGTGGCAATACTTCCAACCAGGGGGTCAGCTGAAAACAGAAAAATATACAGCTTATTTCAGGCAAGTGGTGAATAAAAACTTTAAAAATGTGAAGTGTGAGTTTAATACTCACAAAGCCACAGTACACCACAGAATACCAGCATATTTAGATTGTTGGGTCTTCATCAGTGTGGGGGTATTTATAGCACCATATTAACCTATTACTTAATATGGAAGCAAATATGAACTAAAGTTTAATAAACTTAAAAGATAACAATAGTCATATTTTGTATTACTGAAAGATTTTACCAGTTTATGTGTTTCAGGTTTATTTTACCTTTTCTAAAACTGCTTGGGATATACTTACTGCTAAGTATATTTGTATCAACAGAAGGCAAACTTCTAGGAAAGATTAGATCACCCACAGAAAGGTTTTATTTTTCTAACACTCCTTTTTTTTTTTTTTTTTTTTAGGAAAGATTAGATCACCCACAGAAAGGTTTTATTTTTCTAACACTCCTTTTTTTTTTTCCTTCTCTAAACACATTATATGACCTATCTGACATTTCTCTCGTCTTTTATAGATACCAATACATAAACTGTAAAATTGACTTTGTAAGGAAAGACTCATTTCCCTTAACCGGTATGGATAGGTAGGGTAAGGAGGTGTGGTGATGATGAGTTTCGGTACCTGCATTTAAGTAGATGGTGTATTTAAAAAGATAGAAGAAAATAGCTAATCCACTAGTTTTCAGAACTCAGTGTCTATCTTTTATAGATTCTATCTGCTACCAAATTAGCACGGTTTTGCACTCGAGAGGATAGTAGGACTCTTTCTCCTCTCCTTCCCAACCCTGATTTTGGATTTTTAATTTTCAGGGCGGRGGGGAACTGCTGCCTTCCCCACAGTTCAGCCCATGCACAGATGAACCCGGGGGCAGGCAGGGACATTCAACCCTCTCTAGTCCCTCATGAGCTGCCCCAGGGACAGAAATGTGCTTTGCTASAGGCCAGAGCTATGCGAGCTGCAGTCAGCAGGATGAGATGAGGGTCAAGTTATTTAAACGCCAAGCACRGTTGTGTGCGTATACATATTTTATATATATATAATATATATATAAATAACCTTACAGGCAGCTTCATCACTGCACAGGGCACTCACCTGGGTTGCAGTCTGTGAGAAGGGAGCAGATGGAGAGGAGAACTTTAGAAATAGTTAATGCTGGACTCCAGTTGTCTTTTAAAATGTCCAGGCAGATGACGCCTTGGCTGTTAATATTACAGTGGTAGATTCTCGTCCGAAACGTGACCTACAAGAAAYGGTTTAGATGCTGCATGAGACGGAGGGCTAGTGGTTCGGGCACGACAGGGTGATAAACAACATCAGTTACGGACGGCAAATTTTTACTYTACTTTATTTTTAAGATGACGACCCTGGGGCGGCCGCCGCAACGCGTCCCGCCGCCTCAGGCAGCGCGGGCTCCCCGGGGCGCTGCCGCCCCCTGGCGGCCGTTGGCGAGGCGGCCGCGGCGGCCCTTTAACAGCCCCTGCGGAGGCGACATCTTGGGTCGCGCCGCGCCGGGCTTGCGCTTTGCTCACAGCCCCTCCATCGCTACCCCGAGTCTCTATTCTCTTCTACTCTGCAGCCTCCATGTCTGGCCTGCACGTGGCACCTCAGGGTGCCTCTCCTCAGCACCCTTAAAATCCCTCAGAATTAGCAAATCGCTGGGAGAGGGGGGGAGAATGGCGGACCTGTCSTTTTCTCCTCTCCTTGGCCTTGAGGCAATTTTACCAAAAAAAAGCACCAAGCCTTTTAAATCTCTAGCTATAGCACCAGTGTTGAGGAGGGGTTTGGTACATAGCCCATACACTAGGCATGGCAAGACAGGGGCCATGTTAACTTCACCAAGTCCACCAGATTAAGGTTAATATGCTAAAGTTAACTGTATGTTTATCGTAACTAAGAGATAAGTACTCTCAATGCCTTCCCAAGTTGTCAAATCGCTGTATTTTACCATGAGGGCCCCAGATCCCACACAGAAATAATTACCTAGGAATTTCAGCTTGCATTAAAGAGAAGTTTCTAGCTGATAATTCCAGGGTAAAATATAAAGATATGACTCAAGTACAGCACAAAGCCAGAGGCAAATAAGAACCACCTTCCTTTTAGYTAAAATAAATAAAAATCTCACAAGTGTGCAGCTAAAAGTACTGCTTCCAGCCCTCCTGAATACACCACAGTTGCGTTAATACACAGCCACCCTACTGACGCTACTAAAGGTCACATTACAGTTTTTGCTTTTAAAGAAAAGGAAACTGAAATTTAGAGCTTAAGTGATTTATCAAAAGCCTCAGAATGAATCAGTGCTGTCTCAGCATGTCTAAGCAAAGAGTCATAAATGACACATTTACAATCTCACTGCCAAACCATGGCCAAGGTCCCAAGTTTGGGTGCTTATAGTCGCTCTGAAAGCCATTTTTTTTTCTAGGTTATGACTTTCTGCTCACAGCAGCAAAGACATCTGATGTGTTAATACCATCCACCAACATTTTTTTTCTCCTCAGATTCCCAATTGTTTATGAAAACCTTTGGATACACCATGGTACTTAGAAGTGACAAGAGCTGCAAATCCCAAGTGCTCTGCATAGAGAGGGATCTATTGGATTTTACTGTTTTCAAATTTGGGAGGTGTGAATGAACTGGGCAACTTGCCACATAAGTTTTCYGAAGGGGAAACAAAACCATGACAACACTGTTTTCAGAACAATGTGACCTGTAGAAAGGCCTTATCCCGGCTCCCTTGATGAACAGTGAAAACACATTTGGCGGAACTTGCATGAATTAGGATTATCTACATGAATAAAGGTTGTAGGGTTCATGCCCTAAATCCTCAGAATTTGTCAGCTATCCACACCCACAATTTTTATTGTCTGTTTATAGGTCACAGGGGTATTTGCGAAACACACATTTGGTAAGCGTGTGGTATGACAAGAACACACTAGTGTTTTCCCCTGAGATTAGACCAGCCCACACATAAAACTTGCCAGTCAACCCTCTTTCCCCCCCTTCTTTCTGATGCAAAAACGTTGGCTGTGACCCTCCCTCTTGCAGGCCCTAGGAGCAGATGTGGGATGGGGTGGGGTTACATGGCTACAAAACTGCAGCGCCTCTTGTTTTCCGTGTAGTGCATCTCCACGTTTCCAAGAACGCTCGCCATGTACAGAGCACTGCAGCTATTTTTGGTCTCACAACTGCAGTTACTTGTCACACAGGAGACACCCACACAACACACTTGGGGAGACTTCCCACTTTGCTCCTTGTAAAATGCTTTAGTTTTAGTTTAAAATGAAAAACAAAAGGCAAAAAAAAAAAAAAAAAACCCTGCATTTTTTTCCACATCATGGGTGGCAAGAGCATAATGTCTGAGAGAGACCASAGATGCACCCCCTGCATTTTTGCAGGGAAGAGAGAACCTCAGAACAGGTAGAAAACAAACCAAAACAAAAAACAGGATGTTTCCTAGCTCAAATTATCCCCACAGGGAAGCGCAGCRGGGGCTCTACAGCCACATGGGACCCACACACCCCAGCCTGCACGGAGGGCTGACCTGGCTCCATGTTACCTGCCCTAACCCACACTGTTTACTCCAAGGCGGAAGAGAAGTTTGTGGCACTTACAACTGCTGGCAATGGCTTTGCCTCTGCTTCCCAAGCAGCCTCAATCCAGCCCACTGCTTGCTCAGTATTTCTCTATTTGACCTACAGCTTTGGTCTCTTTCCAAGAAGGCTTCTAACTGTAGGTGAGGTAATAATTTTAACAGATTAAACACTTCCAGAAGGGGAAGCGTGGAGTATTTCCAAGTTGATACAATAAGTACCAAATTAACAGACAGGTCAAGAGGTCTAACTTGAGCACAACAGTTAAATACTCGCTATCTGAGAAAGCGATCTCTTTAGACAGTATCCTAGTCCAATGGACTAATAACTTACAAGGCACAAATCATATTCGTCTCTGTGAATCAGATTTCCATTATTATTTAGAGAAAGAGAAGAAAGAGAGAAGAAATAAGACTTCCTTATACATGCAGAAGAGCCTGGAGAAACCTTAAGGGTTTTGCCATGGCACCAAAACTGTTTTTCTCCAGTTAGAGGAGCTCTGCCTACTGAAAGCACTGCAGGAAAGCTGTGAATTTGTTTTCACTTAAGCAGCAAGCCGGAGCTGGGATGGTGTCAGACACATGCAGCCCAGCTGTTTGCCATTTACAATTTTTGCTGATGGCACAAAAGCCAGCAGCGCAGAGAACCCAGTGGAACTTGGAAAGGAGGAGGAATTACAGGGCCACTTACAAACAAACAAGCAGTGTTTAGAGTAAATGCTCATTATACATTATAGGGGGGGGAAAAAAAGAGCAAAGCAGATTCAGATCAAAACCAGGAGAAACTGAGATACTTAGAAAGCAGCACAGCCTATTCAGGGTCAAGAGACTATTGTGTGGAATAGCAGAAAAGTAGAGTGGAACTGAGCAATCCTTTGGGAACGTCTCACCTGAGATCACATTAATGCTGTAACTACACAAAGTTAAGCACAGCTGTCGAGAAGACACAAGGAAGCTAATCTCAACCTTACCCTGAAGTGACAGTGTAGGTTAATTTACACAACCAGCAAAATAGGAAAGGGGGGAAGGAAGTGGTTAGAGGTTATTAATATGTATGATAAAAGCGCACACCCAGTCAACCCAAGCTACTGTTTTCACCTTGGTAAATGGTGACCAAAAAACCAAACTATAAAGCACCATGTGGGAAAACATTCATTGTAGTAGTATGAAACAATAGCAGTCATCCTGAGGGCCAAATGCTGAGCTCTTAAATTCCCATTATACTTGTTTATTGGATACTCCTGAACATGGGCCCACCCAGCATATGCCTGTCTCAATAGCTATTTGAAACATAAAAGCAAAAMCAGAACTCATTAAATAGACTGGGGAGGGGGGAAGAGAGAACAGATTAACACTAGCATTGTCCAAGTGCTGTATGAAGTGCTCAGGGAATGCAAAAGGTCTCCACTRTACTCCCTCTTTGTCCTAAATATCTATCTGACCCCTTTTCAGATTTCTCCCACTGAAGCCCCCTGTATTGTCTGCTATATTTCAAAGTCAAATTTTAAGATTTCTCACTTTTCCATGCTTAGAGTAGTGCAGGTTGACAAACTACACTTTSTATTTGCAGACAGAAAAATTGAGGCATTGGTGGAACAGCCCACAAACTTTGKGCACAAGCAAATCAACGTGAGGACAGCCCTGCTGAAGGCAGCTGTCCTTTTCACCCTTCCAGGAGGCAGTCATTGTCACTGACAGGCATGCAGATGCCAGCGCTGCGGCAACACCTTCCCCCAAAACGTTGCTCTAACATATCCACTGAGGTATTAACTCTCATTTGGAGCCAGCACCAGTCCGCAAAGCCCGGGCCTGCGCATCGTCACCACGCGCTGCTAACAGGATGCTCGACAACAGCGTTTGTCAGCAGTGGCTGAACTGCAGCACCTCCTCGCACGCGGCCTCCTACGGACCTGGCAGCCAGCCCCCAGGACCAGTTTCAGCTCTTCCTCTCCCTGTCTACCCCCCTTTTCCTTTTAAGAAGCAAAGTCCTTTACTGACATTTCATTTTCAAGCTAGGAAGTTTGTTCCACTAGAGGCACTTTACCATGGGGCAGCCAAACGTAAGATTGTCCTAACAGTTACAGAGGACTCAGTGGAGGCACTAGAGATTTCTTCCTCTCTGAAGGTTTGCTGAGGAAGATACAGCAAAAATGAGTCCTTTCACTCTAGTCAGTTTAATCTTTTCTGAGGCCAAGGTTTTCAAAATTCCTTTTAACCATTTTGCTACTCTAATGTTTATCATCAGCACGATACACTGACATCTGAACTGGCCATTTTTCACTTCTTGCCCTAAAATATAGGAAAGCCAGGGCAATCACATTAGTCCTGCTACTTCCAAACCATCCRCAAATAATATTTACCAGCCAGAGCAAGCAGTTGGACAACATGAAATCAACAAATTAGTGGGAAGAAAGTAGGAGCAAGCGTTAGGTTAATACAGTAATTATATTTTCCACACTAATACAAGGGAAGGTGTTAACACAGGAGCCATCATAACAGAGTCTTTGGTTTTCAGCAAGGAAAAGGTTCTTCATTTGGAACCCAAAGGGCACAAGCAGCACAGGTGGGTGGTGTTAGATCACTGCTGTGTTTTCTCCTACATCCCATCTCTGTGYGACTGAAGCAATACATATTTTATTCACACAGGTATGTGTGGTTTGTAAATCAGCTTAGATGCTGCTAGATGAAAGACTCCATTTAAATGCAACTGTGCTACAGTGCAGTGAACCTTCACCAAACTAGTTTTCTGAGGCCTTAATATGTGGTGCTTTTTTTTTTTTTTTTTTTTAAATTCAGTGCGTCTCAGGCTGGGAGAAGGTTTAGATCCAAAGATAGGGCAAAGAGATCCCAGGCAGAGGCTCAGAAGAGAAAGCAGATCGTAAGTGCCTGTAGCGTGGGAAGGAAAAACGTGGCATAGCTATCTGTGAAACAGTTACCCAGTGCTTCTTATGCTAGCTAATTACTAACAAAATAAAGTATTTGGGACTCAATTGAAATTCTAATCCAAGACACAGAGGCAGCACCATCCACACAGCCACAGAGCCTCCCAAAGAGGGATGGGCAGGTGTCGGCAGGAAACCCCTACAGCTGTCTCAAAGGACACAATTCTTCCCATGAATCAGAGCCGTAAAGTTTAGGAGGGAATTTAATGTCCTGATGCTACCCCCCCAAAAAAAAAAGTTACATAGACAAGAACAATTCAACAGTTTGCTTCATTTAGGAGCCTTTGTCTTAATTCACCTGCTATGACCAGTGGGCAGTGTCTTCACTAAAAGGCACTGGTAGCCTGGACTGTGGCAGGAAGCTTTTTATACTCCACACTACACAAATGTCTTTGAAGACACTGCAGTCATTGGTGCCCATCTTAGCAGTGTGGCTGCTTTTGAGCAGCAAGTTCAATTAAAGCAAGTTAAGCAAGAATGCTTTCAGATGCAAGGCAAACACGAAACCTGTGTGCACCCACCTCTTCTGTTAACAAACACTTCCTTTGACCACAAACGTGAACCACAGGACGACATTCACTTGCCCTGGTATTTGTCTTGTAGCATTAGAATACAACAAAGTAATATAAAAGTTTCAAAAATATTACACAACTACAGAAAAAGATCGCTACTGCCCAAGCGAACAATGCAAGTGCTCAGAAAACCAAAACCTAAGTTCCAATTTAGTGGCCAAAGCACATAAAAAATTCTACACTTTATTTCTTTCTCTAATCAATCAGGTAATATTGTTCCCTCTCCCTCCCTCCTCAAGTTTGTTTATTTTTCAGTTTCTCAGTCCTGTCCTGATGCCTGTACTAACTGCATAGGCTCTCTTAAACCAAAACAGGGAAAAGAAAATGAGCTCTAAAATAGGGATCAAATGGACTGGAAACGCAATTAACATTAGCTAAGAGAAACCAATGTAGTGTCTGAAATGAGCTTAAACTCGTTCTTAAAGCAGAAGGGCTTTCAATGGGCTGCATCCCATTAACACTGCTTGCGACTAAATGTTGTGCTGTGCATTTGTAACCTAAGATATCAGCTACTGGTCTCTTACCTTTGGAGGCTTGAAAGGATATTCTGGTGTAAATGTGATGTCAAGGAAGAAAACACCTCCTTCATAGACTGAGCCTGGAGGACCTAGAATGGTTGATCTCCATTCATAGATGTTATCACCTTTGGGGCCAGCGCTAAGAGATTAAAAAAAAAAAATAGTTAGGAATATTACCACAGTTTGAATAAATATAACCCAAGATGTTCTCAGAGTATAATGCAGCAGAACGTTTTCAGTGTTACCCTTCACATGCCACCTGGAGTAAAGACCACGATACAAATGAGACTGAAAGCATCCAAAAAAATCCCCGAAGTCTCATCCGGGCTCGGTATTTTGGGCTGCTCAGCAATAGTCTTGCTGAGAAACTAGGAACAGCTTCTCTCAGCTGTCATTTCTAAAAGCAACATTGCCCAGAACTTCTGAAGAAATTACAACACAACAATCTCAACCATGGAAAACATAGAAGTTTCAAAGAAAAGTTGTTCCTGTATTTCAGAAATGGCTGCTCTGTCTTACTGTAACTGCAGTGCATCAAAGATCACATTAAATAAGGAACTGATACTGATTTTATCCATTTTAAAATAGAGTGCCCAAGATTAAAAGTATATTGCCGTATTACTGCTAACTGTGGCTCACTCTGTATAATTAAGTGAATCCAARTGTATGATGATACTCTTAAATGTCAAGATTTTCCTCACTTGTATCATTTTGCCACAACAATCTCTAAAATAAAGTGACATAGACTTATCCCAGTGATACCATCTGCATTACAGAACTACGTTTTGCAAGGGGAATTAAACCCATCATGTCAAGCTAAAACTGTGCTTTCCCAAATCAGCTTTGTCTAGATTGTCCCCAACCTACCAGCTCCTCTCGAGGAGCAACACACACCAAGGATGCTGCAGCGTACAAATGTCCATTTGTGGAAAATCAGCCAACACTTGCATTCTGCAGCGTGCCATATGTCTCCGAGTATGCCTAAGCACAGCTCAACCTGTAATGCCATTAATGGTTTAGGGCTGCACTGCTGCCTCTTTCGTTCTGTGCTGTTATTGTGGTATTTTATCAGGGAGATGCCAGAGCTGGATGCTCCCTCTGCATGAAGGCAGGTGCTGACACAGCTCTTCCTGCTCTGGCTCCAGAAATCCCTTCTCTCCTTGGTCTGTGAGGGGCTGCGTTTTAACCTCCCTGCTGCAGAGAAAGCCCTTCCTCTTCCCTCCCCTTCCTTTTATCCTGGCTGCTGTGAGGCAGGGGGATAAACAAAGGCTCTTCTCACATGATAACAAGCATGGAGAAGCAATACTTRAGAGGGAAGGCAATCCAATGCATTCAATATATACATGACAATACGCATTTGATTACTGTGAAGGCAACCAAAGTAATTGCTAGTGTTGCTGGTGTTAGTGTTGCGAATAGAGATACAATTGCAAAAGTAAGAATTCTCAACAACAGGGATCAGAAACCGGGTTTTTCCTGCGCTTTGCAGGACCGGTRAATGCAGGAGGGGAACTAGGGGAGAGAAAGTCAATTAGCTTTACTTTCAAATCTCTCTAAAATTTCATTTTCAGATTCCACAGAAAACAAAAGTTCATGATATTTTGGGGCTAGCTACTTCAGTAACAGCGGAGCCATCTCTAAGAGCATGTCGTAGGGGAGGGAGAACACGTAGGAAGGTAGTAGAAGAGAGACAGGTTCTGCGCAAAGTGAGGCACCATCTGTTGGGGAAAGATTTCTCTCATCAAAACAAAACCCCACACTGCTCACGAGAATGGCAGGAATTTAAAGCAAAAACCTTTCCATGCTCAAGATGACTGGTATCCTGCTCTGCCTTAATGACTTGTCTCTGTCCTATATGTGCCCATATATCTGGGCACACACGACTCTCCAGCTACCACTTGCTCAGTGGACTGGAATAGCACTGTATCTCCACAAGAAGCTCTAGCTCTTGGAAGACAACAACTTAACTATGAAATCTTACCCAGAAAGGCTCTCTTGGGCACCCTTAGCCGCCACTCCTAGGAATCATCTCTCTATACATGTATTAGCAACCGATTGAACCACCCCATTGCTCCAGGTTACACCAGAGATCACCCTTCTCCCCTGAAGATGGAGCTACTGAACGGAACAGGTACTTGAGATGTGTTAGTACCAATTTGCTCCTAGAATTTATATCACAGGACCTGCCAGCTGGGAGCACTTCAACGCTGGAGAAATGTGGTATGAGATTAGCAGTGAACACAGCCCTCTGAAGCAATGAGAAATATTTCAACATTTTGCATTTTATTCCCAGCCTCAACCCAAAGGACTGTCAATAAAAGAAATCCCACTGACGTAAAAATAATGTATTATTATTTATAATAGTCTTAGAAATCCCTTGCACCCTATTAGGTTTCCAATTAGAGCTATCACTGCATGCAAGTAATATACTGCTAGACCTCTGTATTAAAAGAGTGCAACATCTTTGTAAAACATCAGTAGGCTTTAACAGTGATGTACTAAGCTTACCTTTTAAGCTTTTCATAATTCAATTAACAGTGAAATAGCTGTAGTTCTCCATTTTTTTACATATTAACATTGATTTCTTATAAAGGAAAGACTGAAAGAGGGAGATGCAAGTCAGCTTCAGAGTGTAATATTGCTTGGGTTTAAATTAGGATTAGGTAATATCAAGCAGCTCAAGACGACCTAGTACTTAATAGAAAAGTGACGATATTAGAACATAGCTTAAGAGCAGTGGCATTAACTTTGGTGGAGATATAAAAGTTGTCAAAGGTTAAAGATTACATTCTTTGTTTAAAATCCTCGCAATTACCCACTTCAAAAAGAAATTCACTGATACAGAGATCTGTGGCTCACAGGCACAGCTGTCACCTTGCCTGGTGTGTGTCAACGCTGCTCAAATTAAGTGTCTATATCTACTAACGCAGCATTTTGAAGCTGCCCAGCATATGAGCACTGTGAGGACAATTTTAGCCAATTATATAGAAATTGTTTCCACTGCAAGACGAAGCACGTGGGGTACAACTTTCTCTAGTATTACACTGAATAACCCACAACCTGTTCACTTGCAAAGAAAGAAGTGAGAGGAGAGTGAGAGTGAAAAGATGTCCTCAAAAACAAAAAACAAACAACAAAAACAACCCTCACCACAACCCACCAGAGTATTATATCGCTGCAGCAGAACAGTGCAGCTAAGCACCACTCTTCCCTGACAATACAGTCATACATTCGGWGGGGATGCTCTGCAGCCCCTGTACCGTCTCCCCTTCCTTATCACCCCCAAGCTGTTGCTGGCCTGGCCCCGGGACAAGTCTTATATTGATGCCTTTAGGAAGTGGCCAGTGCTAAGGTAGGACCATCAAATTTTTCAAGAAGCAACAGCCTGAATATGGCTGGTAAATGCGAGGCAGGGAGAATTTTTAGACCCAGAGATGACCCCCAGTTCCAAGATTCATCTAAGGCAAGTCCTCACGAGCCTTGTGCCACTTTGGAAGAAGTCCAGCTTGCTCTGCCTCCCTTAGCCTGCAGATAGCATGGCCTTTCTCCATTTAAAAATCAAACAGCTGCATTAGAAACGCCTGCAGCAGAGGCTGGGGGCAACAAAGCTGAGCTAAACACGCTGTGCTCTCGTTTCAGAGCCTCAGGGAGCGCCCACCCACGCCGCTTCCCGTGCTGCCGAGGCCCGGCAGGAGCGGAGCGCAGGGCAGGAGCCGGAGCCTGCGCCTCCTGTCAGCTGGTTACACACAGGCTCCGAGCTCTGCGCTGCCCTACGCGGCCCTGCGCAAACCCAGCGCTTCGCACCTGTAAACTCAGGGGCCTCTTCTGCCCGGACATCCCTGGGCAAGCTATTCCGAGTCTGTCTACACCACGTAGGGAAGGCAGGATTTTTTGTGGCTCACCACACGCTCACGGACTGAAATGCCAGGTTACACACGGCTGACGTTTTCCAGGGCAAGGTCCAGAATGAAGCCCTAGGAAGGAGCCCRCTGTTTGCGTCAGCTTGCTAAAACATTTGGAAACTACCTAGTCATTTCTAGGAGTCAACCACATGATGACACAAGCTCTTCTCTAGTAAAACTGCAGAGCAGTGACTGCCTCAGTTCCTCTTCTGTGAGATAGAGAACACCCGCACTAGTGGAGCGCTGCTCTGAGAAGTAAATCAAAGCCAGTCAATGCTACAGGTACCTGACAGACCCCCAGACACACGCGTGGTGCATGTTCCTTGTCAAAAGGAACTAATCTAGCAGTCATTAAAGATGCCAGAGCGCCGTTCCTCACGATGAGAGGGACAATTCCATGGTATGCTGAAGTAAACAGCAGTCAATGAAGACCAGCAAGCGTTTCAATTAAAACCACAAGCACCAAAGCTACAAACTCGTATTTCAACTACAGCATAGCCCTATAAAACCATTTTGTCCTGAACAGGAAATAACAAAACTTAATTCTCTTTTTAATCCACATTCAGGGATATGGTTTTAAAATACAAAGCAAAAAAACATTTTGTTGCAACTTGCTGATAGTTTATTGTATTTTCCGTCCTAAATTTAAAATGGCAGTCACAATATTATTGCACAAGGGTAAATGCCTTACAAATCCCACCATGTTTCAAAGAGGGAAGAAAACACAAAATTTCTTTGTAGCATCTGGAAAGCTTTTCCCTTAAGTGTCACACTAATGTAAAACAGGGCAGATTGAAAAATTGCAAATAAATTTCACAAAGCTTAAACTGGATGGTAAACTGTGCAGTGAATTACAGGCTTAGGGCATTGAAAAAAGAAACTAAATAACTAAATAGCTCTGATAATGGAGTTGATAAGCTGCTACACAGGTATTTATGAGACCTCAAGGAAAATGTTTCAGAAAATATTTCTCTGAAAGAAAAAAAAAAAAAGGCGGGGGGGCTTCCAGGTGAGAAAATTTTATATCAAAAATATTTGGCAACAAGATCACATCACAACTAAGAGGGCCGGATCCTTGCCAAGAACTCAATCTTCTTCGATTACAACAGGAATATTTGCAAATCTGGGACCATCACCTGAAGTGTTTCAGTCTCAGCAACATCTTACTGGGCAGCTAGGACAAAACTACTTTGCAAAAAGGCCAGCCCTCTGGAATGATTTTGCTGTGAAGCTGGAT